CTCCAACCAGAAGCCACATCCAGCTTTGAATTGGATGCTGTGTTTTATTCTATTTCTATTGTGTCTTATTGTTAAACTGTCCTGAGGCCAGAGTAAGGGACAGTCTAAACAAGTTTTGAATAAATTTAGACTAGCTGAGCAGGACTGTGAAGGCAGGGCATTTTGGACGGCTTTCACTCATAGGGTTGCCATGAGTTGGAGATGACTTAATGGCACATGGTAGAAAACACAGAGCCTTACGTCAGGCCAAATGCGCATCCTTTATCTGTGTTGCATCATTGCTCCTTGTGGAGCAATTCCTCTTCGTTGTTTCCTCTTCATTGTTTCCTCTTGAGAAAACTGTTAGGAAGTCGCATTATATAATTAAGGGCACATTCCACAGGGGTTGCCTGTTACTTTCCGACCTCAAAGAATTACAAACATCCTGTGCAAAGTGGGAGGAGCTCGGAGAGGGAGGTTTCCCGATGCTTCATCCTGCAAAGACGCTTGAAGGCCAATTTCAGCTGATTAATAGGGGTGCTTTGCAGTGGGAGCATTATCTGTGTTGCATCATTGCTCCTTGTGGAGCAATTCCTCTTCGTTGTTTCCTCTTCATTGTTTCCTCTTGAGAAAACTGTTAGGAAGTCGCATTATATAATTAAGGGCACATTCCACAGGGGTTGCCTGTTACTTTCCGACCTCAAAGAATTACAAACATCCTGTGCAAAGTGGGAGGAGCTCGGAGAGGGAGGTTTCCCGATGCTTCATCCTGCAAAGACGCTTGAAGGCCAATTTCAGCTGATTAATAGGGGTGCTTTGCAGTGGGAGCAAAGGAGGCTGGGGCACTGCCAAGAGATACGAAGAGTCTTGGCAGCGGCATTTTCTCCTCCTCCCTGTTTTGAGAATGCCCCTTAAAGCCATTCTTTGAGTTTGCTTTTCCTTTCTTGGAGAAGCAGCTGGTTCATGTGCAAGTGGTGAAGGTGCTCTGAGCGTGGAGTTGAGCTGGCATTCCAGAAAATCTTGCAGCTTCCTGACGGGTCTAGGGGCCACAAGACTCCCCTACAAACACACTTTCTTCTAACCATGTATGGCAGCACGTATGGGGAACATATGGACCCCTGTGTGTTGTTGGACTGCTACAACAACTTCGCCTTCATAGCCTGTGGTGAGGCGGGGGGGGGGGCTGCACTCCACCGACATCTGCAGCAGGCAACACAATTCCCATCCTTGGTAAGTGGAGTGCATTCATCTCGCCACAGCAGAAATGTGTCATATTCACAGACACTTACAGTGAAGGAGATGGCAACCTTGCTTCCCAGATGGATGACCGGACCCATCCCACGCGACTCCGTGCCTGGAATCTCTTGCTCCTCCTCCATTTTTAGCCCTGCCTGGACCTCCTTTTGACAGCCTTCCAAAGGCATAATCCAGTGCAGCTTTGTTCCATGAAGCTGCTGATCTTAATACGAGCTCTTCATACTTGACTACATCCACTATATCTTTCTTTATCATCAAATTCAAGTGGGGCTGCGGTTGTCCATCAATGCATGGGTATAACTGGAGGGCAGCCAATACAGGGAGAATCAATCCAGACCAGATTGTTGCTGGGCAGTTCATCTGCCCAGTTGAGTGGTGCGTATCCCCTTCGGGATCAGGTTCAGAGTCTGGGAAAGCTCTAGGATCCAGCATTGTCTCACCTGCTTGAGTGGCCTGTGTGGGTAGGATGAATTTGATCAACTTAGATCAAGGCTACACAACCCTCCACTCACTGCTGGCAAAAAGCACTCCTGCTGCTGGGTCTTATACTGCATTTAGATGCTAAGGATTTAATTTGTTATAAATAAGTCACTGTTTTATTTTATCCAAAGCCACTCAGATAATTACATCTAGGTGAGAGATCATAGCAACCTCTAGACAGCACCCAGGGACCCATTGGATTCCCAGATCTCTAGTCAGAGATGGGAATCGATGCTGTGAAATCCCTCCTTTGTAGGTGATGCCAAAAGAGCTACACTGGCTGCATCTCCAAGGCTGGAAACTTCACCTCCCAGAGGAGGTAAAGGAGGTGTTCTGAGGGCCAGGAGGAGATAAGACTGCAGTGAACAGGATAGGACATACCCTGTGTCTTCTGCATCTTCCTTCCTTCCTCCTCCAAAGACCCCGGCTAGTTGACCAAAGCCAGTCATCCACCAGAAATGCAGAGTGGAAGAAGCAGGGAAAAGGTGTTTGCCTTCATCACTCCTGCTGCTGTGTGCAAATGCCCATAATTCTCCAGGTCTGGAGATGTACAGACATCTTGGTTGGATTGCATTCTGCACAAAAGTGCCGTCCTATGCATGATTAGAAAAAGCCCTACCGCTCCCAGTGCGTGTGTTATGTGCTGTCAAGTTCTCTCCAACTTCTGCTCTTCCAAGTTTAAGGCAGTGGCTTCCCTGATGGAGTCCCTCAGCTCATACTTGGTGGTCCTCCTCCTCCTCCTCCTCCTCCTCCTCCTCCTCCTCTTCTTCTTCTTCTTCTTCTTCTTCTTCTTCTTCTTCTTCTTCTTCTTCTTCTTCAACTTTCCCTAGCATGATTGTCTTCTCCTGCCTCCTCATGATGTGTCTGAAGTAGGACAGCCTCAGTTTTGTCACTTTGCTTCCAGAGAAAGCACCTGGCACACCCCAAGGTGAATCACATGACTGTTCTACTTTCGGTTCGATTAGGAAAATTTGCGTTTGGATCCTTGCTTGCCCATAAACCATGCTGAATGACCTTGGACCAAACACTATTTTTCCAGCCCCATTTATTCCACAGTGTAGCCATGCACACAACCTGTCATCACCCTCTCCACCCAAACCCAGTAGGGTGGCCACTTTTGTGTCCCAGGACAGGACAAGAGAGGATATCGGTTTGTAAAAACAACTGCCCTCTTGTAGTGAGTGATGTGTAAAGATGCTAATTTAAAAGTCACAAATATTGTGTGAATAGAAATACAACTCATCTCACCCCAGTGGGGAAGGTTGTAGAGGTGGCAAGTGTTGATGCGTAACTGCAAGACCGCTCTCTCTCCTTTAAACTGGACTTGAACTGGACAGTCCTTCAAGCCGAGGATGCTTTTGGGTAGAGAACTGTCTCCTGATAGTCAGGTGGTCACCTACCCCTACACAGTGAGAGTACCCTATAGGCTTCTAATCTCCTTGGAGAAACCATAGCATCTCCTTCCCTATGTGCCTGCTCACCCCTTAAGATCTGGGTTGGAAGTCCTTCTTCAGGAGCCCTCTTTGAAGGAGATTAGGAGTGTGGCTACCTGGAGAAGGGCCTTCTCTGCGGTGGCACCTTGGTTGTGGAACATGCTCTCCAGAGAGGTGCGCCTGGTGCCAACACTTTATTCTTCTCAGCGCCAGGCCAAAACCTTTTTATTTTCCCATTATTTTAAGACCTAATTTCCATTTTAATTGGGCTTTTATTATGGATCTGATGCTGTGCTTTTGCTGTTGGGCCATCCTGAGACTTTTATGTATAGGACAGAATAGAAAAGTTTTACCTAAATAAATAAAAGCACTCAGCCATCACCATCAAATGCAAAAGTGAGGGTCATCCTAGAAAGATGTCAGTAGTTCCTGGTGCTTGGATTTGTATACCTGGATTCTAATGATTTCAGGGTCTCTGATGGAATTCTCATTTGTGCAAGAAACTTGGAGGAGCAAACGGCTGCTGTGACCCTTGTGTCAATGCACATATTGTGAATTTTCCAAAAACAAAGTAACCTAGATCTTTTCCCTCTGATATGTCTGGTGATATCGGCTGCAAAAATGCATGGAGTTATCCAAACTGGGACTATGGAGGCTTGAGTTCAAATCCCTCACTCAGCTGATATCAGACCACTTGTGTTCTCTCAGCTTGGCCTACTTCACCAGTTGGGTTTTGCTCCCTGGAGACGAAGCAGGATGTGTTTCCCTTAAAGTTATAAAGCTCTTGGCATCCTTGTATCACTCTTGTCCAGAAAACTTGGTCCCATCCTGGCCTCCTAAGGGAATGGGCAAAGGAGATACCGGAATGCTGTAGGAAGGTCATTCTGAACACTTCTGGAGAAATGATTGAGAGTGAAGTTTGCCTGTCCTTTTAATTGAGGGAGGGGGAAGTGGACATCCTTCTGCTTTGGGTACTTTTAAAAAGTGTTGGCTTGTTTTAATAACATCATCAGCATCAGAAGAAGAAAGCATTAGGCATGGAAAGAGCCTGTTTCCGCTTCTGTGCATGAGTTATCCAATACCTCCTTTCCTACATCTCTGAAGCAAATGGTGACCCAGTCTGGAACTAACTAACCATTAGTAAAGGGCTAACCATTTCTGAAGAATAACTATGGCAGCTCTCTCAATCTCATACCACCCAGGTATGCAGCACTACAATTTCCATCACCCCTGCCAGCCATGGGGGTGGGGGAAGCTGCCTTAAATGTAATTATTGTGACCCAGAAAAAGTCAATGGCACGTAAGACTCTGTCCATACGTGCCCAGCGGGAAGCATCGTTTAATCCTACAGGGGGTCACTTCCCTCCCTGATTCTATGCTCATTTACTCAGGGTTAGGTCTCACTGGGCTATCATTTTGGACTAGAATTCCCATCTGGTTGTGGTGGCTATGCTGTGGTTAGTAATTAGAAAACTGTTCATGCTGACTGAAATTGGTCAGTCTTCACTTCAAAGTCCAGTTCAGCTTACTTGTTTAATCAGAAAAAAATCACATTACAGATGAGAAAACTGCTCACTGCTGTGTGTATACCCCCCAAAGACTGAAGCATGAAAATGCATATTTTTGGAGCATTCAGCACACTTCCAAGTGCACTGAAAAAGTACACCTCTTAAATGTGATTGTGAATATGGGATTTTTTTTCCCCAAAATAAATGCACTCCATATTCAGGCATGCATATGAAGCAAGATGATTTGCAAGTTGTACTGAAATTCTCATAAATCTGTAGTTTCAGTGTCCCTTGGTGCTCTACCTGAATGGCTAAAGACTTGTGTCTTCCTTTTCCATTTCAGAATTCTTGGAGGAATTCCCTGGGGATGGCAGAGAATGTGTCAACTGTGGGGCCATGTCCACCCCACTCTGGAGGAAAGATGGAACAGGGCACTATCTATGCAATGCTTGTGGGCTCTATCACAAGATGAATGGCATTAACCGGCCGCTTATCAAGCCGCAGAAAAGACTGGTAAGAAGAGATTCCTGGGCTCTCTTGTTCTACTGAGAGATTTTCCCTTCCTCTGACTCTCCTGATGTAGCTTGATGTTATCGCTTGAGTCCTCTGGAGCTTTTGGTGCTGCTGTCATGAGGATGGTAAACACTTTTAGCTCCCTTCAGAAGCTGCTTGCCAGGGAAATGCAGGGCCTGAAGGCAGAAGGGGCTGCAGCCACATTCAAAGGGAGTGAGGCCAAAATGCCAACATTACTGGTGCTTAACACCGTAACTGCCAGCAAGCCACAGGAGAGGCATGTGAATCTTTTGGAATGTGGAAAAACTGCACAGAAGCTGGAAAACCATCAAACGATTGGTGAGCAGGGAGAGGGGTCACCCAAGAGTAGGGAAACTCAGAGGGCTGGACTGAGCCCCCGGGCCTGCCAGGCTTGGCCCCCAGGTCTGAATCCTGCACCTTGCGCTCACACTTGCCCTCTCGTTGGGGCATGCTGTGCTTCAGATTGCAGAATGCTTTGAGGGTAAAGCCTGCAGGTTGATATTCATGGAGTGCTTGTCTCATTTACTTATTTATTTGCCACCTGTTTTCCTGCAAGGAACCCAAAGCGGCTTACATATTCCTCCTCTCCATTTGATCTTCATAGCAATCCTGCGAGGCAGGAGAGTCAGGGACTGGCCCAAAGTCACCCAGTGAGCTTTATGGGCTGAGAGGGGTCTAGAAGTTAGATCTCCTGAATCCCAGTCCGGCACTGAGCCACACAGGCGCTCTCTTTCCTTGTTCTGTGTCTCATAAGTTAAATGGAAACTCCATGTTCAGATAATGTCTCTAAATAGCAGTTGCGTGAGGGGTGTGGTGGACGACAGACAGAGGCCAGTTCTGCTTGTGGGACTCCTGGAAGCATGTGGTTGGTCCCAGAACCTGAACTGGTTTTAGGCTTTCTACAAATAGAAAAGTTCTAGAGCTTTAGGGTGGTCATCTCCTGGCAAACTGGAATCCTATAGAAATCTTTCTTAGACACCAGTGCTTTGGAGGTTGACTCCCAGCATTCCTGGCCACTGGCCATGCTGGGAATTGTTTCTGGAGTGCAAGAGAGCTCTAGAGCCTCCTTGTCCAGCCCAGGTTCCTTGAGCCAAAGCAGTGTGCAAGCGCTCTTGAACCTGGGACATGGGCACCAATGTACCCACATGTAACTTTCAGAAGCACAAATATTTTGTGACCAACTATGATAGCTATTTTTTTACTGGTCAATCCTCCTTAAGGTAGCCATTTTGTGAGAGCACCCATGATACTTTCTCAGAATTCCCCATGTGCTGACCCCAAAAGTTTGGAGAACCCTGTTTCGGGGCTTCTTCTGAGAGAGAGAGAGAGAGAGAGAGAGAGAGAGAGAGAGAGAGAGAGAGAGTTCAGGGACAAAACAAGAGTAGGGTTTTTTCTGACCTGTATTTAGCCCCATTCCTTCCCCTGTGATATCACAGCTAGGGTGTTAATTTCAGGTATCCCAGGCCCCATAAAACCTATGCACTTTCTTCTACTGTAGTGAACGAACTAACATTTGTTCAAAGGCTTCCTATAGCCAGTAAGCAACAGAAAGATGGTCAGGCAGAGTAAAGTTTGCATGCAGACACAGAAACCTCTGAAGCCGTCCAAGTCAGCCATTTCCAGCCTGGATGTTGGAGACCATAACTGCCCACATTCCAGCCAACATGGGAATTATGGAAGCAGAAGTCCAGATCAAAGAAGGGACTGCAATTCCCATCAACTCCAGCAGGCCTGGTCAATGGCAAGGGATGGTGGAAGTATCAATTCCTCAATATCTGGAAGGCCACAAATGCCTTTTTGGCGCTGTCTTGCAGCCACTAGTTCAAGACATGTTGTGGCTTATTTCCATTAGCAAGGGGAGCTTTGTGACCATTGGTTGTATTTACTAAATGTCCATGGCAAAAGCTTCAGTTCCTTAGTCTGAACTCTGTCGGTGATACTTCTGCTATTTTAGCTATATTTATAGCTCCATATCTTCTCATAAGCATTGTAAAATGGTCATTTATGCCACTGCCTTTTTGTTCCCTTTTAAATCTTGAGAATGTTTTTCTCATCTGTGCCCCCAGTACAAACAGAGAGATCATTGCGGCTGTTTTTCAGGATTCAACTCTGGGGCTTCAGCTTCAGTTTTTGTGGCAGAAAGTCAGGCTTTCCAAAAGCACCTCTATCCCAAAATCAGCCTGCTGAACTCTGATATCCCAGGATAGGAGGTTATTTGTCCATGTCTGAATTTAAGAACTTCACGCTTCATTAAATTTATAGTGTGTGTCTGTCCCTTCTACTATTACTCAAGTATAGGATTTTTCCTCCATTGGTTGTTTGGAGAATAGATCATGCACCTTTGGCGGCAAAAGTGTTGACTTGTCCTTGGGACGCCACACGTATTCCCATGAACTCTTTCTGGCTTTGTTGTTGGATTAAAAACCGAAACTACCCAAGCCCTGGATACATGGCTTTGCTACGAGGCAAACCTGCCTTGGTAGTGGCAATTTTGTGTTTGTACACAAGCTTGGGATGCACGGGTTTTGTTAAATCCATGCTATGTTTCATGGATTGTCCGGCATCATGGAATCAGATTTTTTTAACGGATGTGCAACATTCTGAGCCCGCTTCCTCAAGTATGCATTAAGCAAGCAGGCATTTGCCCAAATCCCTTCCGCCCGTTTTTCTTTTAAACAGTCCAGAAGCCTCTCTGCTCCAGAGTCTCTTGAATCTGTTGCAGATTCCTCCAACATCTCTCATGCAAACTTGGACACGGTCTGAACTGGGTAGGAAGAAGGAGAGTATTGGGCAGGGACTGTTCACAAAAGTATGAGCAGGTAGCGTCCAGAGTTCTCTCCTTTAGTCCTTCCTCTCCAGTACTTTTCTTCTAACCCAGCAGGGCTGGGAACAAAAGTCTCTGAGGAATCAAGCAAGAGAAGGGAGACCTGTATCCCATTCCCAGTTAAGATGGGCCTACTTGTCTTTTCTATGGTTCTGGACAAAATGTAGGCTTAAATGCACAAAGCAGCTGTGATCATACACAAGGAAAGATTTCTCTTTTTCTTCCCGGACAGATGGGAACACAGGTTGAAGCAGATAAATGGCAAGAAGGGAAAGGGGTCAAGGAAACCCTTTATCTCTCCCCACCCCCTTCCTTCTCTCTGCACTGCAAGCTTCTTTGCTTTGATTTTTTCCCAGTTGTATGATGGAGGGACACACTCTTCTGTGTGGTTTCTTTTTTCTTATTTATAATCATGGTTTTATTGTAGTAATCCAATTATTTTATGTTGCAAGCTGCTCTAATGTTTTCTTTCAAAGAAGAGCAAGCCCAGATTTTCCTTTGCTTTTGTTCCCTTTTATTTCAACAAACCATTGCAGGAAAGGATTGCGCAACTGAGCATCACATGTGTGGCTCCAGCCCAAGGGAGGCTGAAATTATCTTCACCTTGGAACATTTCTCTGGGCTTGCATTTGAGCCGTCCTGTGAAACTTTCCAGCATGTTTTGAATAAATACTTTTCAAAGTCCACCACTCCGAAAGCTTATCAGCTGCAGTTGGCTGCAGAGGGTGGTGTGTGGCGGGGTTTCTGTTCAGGGCCCGGTCCAGTTTTGTATAAACAATCACAGTGGGGTGCAATATTGAAGTCAACAACTTCCGAGCCAAGGTCAAAACTCCACAAAAGCTGTGTGGAATAGGAAAGAGGAGGGATTTGCTTTCTCTTAAGAGAACATTTGGAATATTTGCAGCACTCTGCGCTTCCCTCCCTTCTCTACATCCAAAACCCCCCTATATCTCTTTCTTTTTGACACCAGTGCCAAAACCTGGGGAGGATGAATGGAAAATGTAATTTTTCTCTGGCAGCATAGCACTTTTCCTTTAAAGCAGGGCTGGACAACCTCAGATGCTGGGGCCAAATCTAGCCTTCTGTGGGTCCCAGTCCAGGCCTTCTTCAGAAAGCCACAACCTCTTTTGCCCCAAGCCCTGATTGTTCAGTTTCTTGTATTTTATGCAGCTTTACCCCTGCCTTACAGGGCTGAAATGCTTCTCCTAAGGCTTAGTTACTGGGTTAATTTAAAATATGCTGGTATTGGGAGGGGGCTTGGCCCTGGCCCTTTGGGCTTCAGCTTCGCCTGTCCCAGGAATGCCACTCCTGGCAGCTGCTCTGAAATGGAATCCGGCCCTTGGACTGGAAGGAGCTTGCATGCTGCGTCAAGTCTGCCAGAGCATGGCTGCATCAAACCCCATGCCAGAAAGTCTCTCTCATTCAAGTTTAGCTTGTGCCATGTGGGCGGCCTTAGGCCCTAGGCCTTCCGCTGGCCAGCTGGGATGCACAACCATTTGGCCCTAAGGACCATACTCGATGCTGGTCTGAAGGTCGCAGGCAGGAGGCAGGTACATGCAGCTGTATGTGCATTCACACATGCTCTTGCACGTGCAAATCCGATGCAGAGTTTCCTTTCCTCACGGCTAGCAGCTGCATATTAAGAGCTCCCTGTATTAAGATAACTGGGGGAGAAAATGAAGAGTACAAGCTATGGGGAAACGGGCAAGAGTGTAGAGATCCACCACCCAGGGATGGGAGGCAACGAAAAGCTGCGTAAATGGCACTACTGGGTCACAGTGTGACTATGATGAGTTACCAGCATCCATGCAAATATATTGCTGAAAGAAAATTGCATCACTGAGTTCAAAGAGGGCCCCAGGTCTGCAGAGGCTGGCAACCACAACCTTCAGCAAGTCATCTGCTGGTCTGGGTGGACCCCATGCCTTAGGCAAAGTGGGGTCCTCCCAAATGCATCTTTGGACCACCCTCTGGGATCCAGACCAGTACACTGGTCTGTTTTAAGCGACTGGGATGAGATCCCAGAGATACTGCTTGAAGAGAAGGCTCTACAGCCAATGATAGCCATATTTCCCATCATTATCTTGAAGTCTTAGTAATCACAGTACTCATCATGATCTCATTGTTTTCTTTTATCCATAAATTATAAATCTGGGTCATTGGCCATTTTTGCTGGTGCTACTGAATTTGACCTGTCAAAGGATGAGCATTGACCCTACTGACTCCATATTCACTATTTGTCATAAAAATCATATATATTTTCATAGTCTGCTTCTCTCAAATGTGCAGGTCTGCTAGATTCCTTTCTTACAGGGAAAGAAATCCATGATCATAAAGCATTTTAGAAAGAGCACTCGAACTGTTCCCAGAATCCCTTATCTGTTCCATACTGAACTTGTAGCAACCCCAAAGAGACTAGGAAGTTTCATGGAACTTGTATGGGAGCTGCATTATATGGCGTGGCACCGAGTCCAGCTGTTGGCCCATCTGGCTCCGCAGGGGCAACCTTTTTGGGGTGATCAGATGAGTTCACCAAGCTGAGAAACTGTTGAGGGCACCACCACAAAAAAACTGCTGGAGGAGCTGTGGTTGGTCGTGAAGGAAAAGTAACCGGTCCACAAGACTAAGTTTATTTATTTGTTTGTTTGTTTGTTTGTTTGTTTAGAAGGCTTCTATGCCGCCCCATTTGCCGAAGCCTCGGGGCGGCTCACAATAAAAGCAGAGGCAGGGTCTGACACTGACGCGCACACAGACACGCACACACACATGGCACAATCCTCTGTATATTCAAGCAGGAAAAAGGCCTACAACTTTTGGGGGGGTTCTGTCTAAAAATACACAGGACCACACACTAAACAGTCCTGTAACCCACACTTATGAGCACCGGCTCAAAGCTTTTTGCTATTTTTGTTTAAGTGGCCAGGTGTCTGCAGGCTCCACATTGTCTCTCCCTGGTGTAGCACCATGCAGTCTACACAGGTGGGCAGCAGTTCTCCAGGGTCTTAGGAGCTTCTCCCAGCTCCCCCCAGAGATGTCAAAGCCTCGTTTCCAAAAAGACTGACTCCTCTCGCCCAAGTTCAGTGGCTTGTCTGGCACTTAAGACCTCTCACACCCAGAACAAGATCTGTGTCCACAGACCACGAGTGGGTATTCTGTGGTTCTCCAGATGTTGGACTTTAGCTCTGTCATCCATGGCCTTTGACCATGCAGACTGGGAGGAGCAGGGGGGCTTAAAATCCACAGTGTCCAGAGGGTGCTGGCTTGAAGAAAGGGCTTTATCTTGCCATGTTTCCATCTGCAGTGGATATGTGGATATGATCAGCCTGATAAGTATAACACTTCAAGCAACTGAAGTGGGCACGCATCCACAAAAGCTTTAGCCAAAACAGATCTGTTGATCTTAAGAAGCCTCAAGGTTCAAGCGCAGATCTTTTGCAAGGGACCATGACCCATGTCACAGAAGAGAAGCCTAGAAAGTGACTGCAAGCATGCTCTTTTAACGACGGCCTTTGCAACTGGAACATTCAAGCATCTTCGCAGCTTTCCCAGCCTCTTCCTGAAAAGCTGAACCCAACAACACTCTTTGCAGTGATGGGCATCCTTTCGTTCATCATTTGTGGTCCCAAGTTTTTAATAGAAAAGTAAACAGAGATGAACTTCATCATGTACATAATTTTCTAGGCAGCTGGATGGTGATTGTCATGAGCTGATAGTTTCTTCCTTTGAGGCTGAGAAGCGTTGCTGAAGCACCTCAAAGTTGGTGGAACACACTTTTGGCCAATGCACATAATGTATTTGCTGCAGGACTATAACACATCAAACTACCGTTTGGGGGTTCCACACGTTAGAGTCCTCCTTCCTCAGCCAAACCAAACATGCCATAGATATTTTAAAAAGTACTCTCTATGTAGCACATGATGTGACATTCATTCAGCTGGCACCGTTATGTCAATCTACCTAATTCACACTTCACTCAGAAATTTACAAACTCAGTCATGCTTATTGGTGTTTGCACTGCGCTGAATTTTGCACTGCAGTTCTCCGATCTAAACCTGTGTGCAAGAGAAAGATGCATAAGAGATGTGTATATATTAGTGAAAATAATGTGCAGAGTTTGCATTATATTAGGGGACATTGCTAGCAAAAATAGCTGGAAATCATAGCAAAAATAGCTGGAAAACACAGGAAATCATACATTTGGAGGAAAATGCATGCTAATATGTGTGGATTTCCCTGTAGACTTAAAAACATGCTGAAATCAGTCATCTAAATGTTTTGAGGTGAGGAGAGCACAGGAGCAATCCTCACCTCTACTGCTCCCAGGCTTGACTGGACACCCGAAACCTTCCCAGTTCAAAAGTTACAAGCAGCCTCATAGAATTCCCCCCCTACTCTTGGATTTCATCTCCCATGTGACGCAAATATAATAAATCTCTCCTGTGCCCTGCAAGACTTTGCCTGTGCATTAAGCCAATGTGTTTTCCTTGTTTTTCAGTCCTCATCTCGCCGTGCTGGCCTCTGCTGCACCAACTGCCACACAACCAACACCACACTCTGGAGGCGGAACGTGGAAGGGGAGCCCGTCTGCAACGCATGTGGATTGTACATGAAGCTCCACGGGGTAAGTTGCTGAGCTGTACACCCTAGCGAAGGCTTGTCCTTCATATTCTGCAGGGGTGAAGGACTGGGGGATCCAAGACATGGTAGGAGCAGCTTAAGGAGGTATAGCTCAGTCATGGAGTGCCAGCTCCTTGTGCAGAAGTTCTCAAGATCAGTCTCTGGGATGTCCAGATAGGAATGAAAAACCCCTGCCAGAATCCCTGGGGAGCCCTGGTCAGTTACTGTTGGCAATATCAGGATTTTGGGACTGGTGGTCAGACTCAACAGGGAGCAGGAGGACCAAAGTTCCTGTCCTCAGCTCTTATGGATGGAAATCCCATTGAGCTCGATTGGACTGACTTCTCATCTGGCATCCTCAACTCGACACCCCCAAGATGATTTGGAGTACAACTCCTAGCATCCCCAGCCAACATGCCTGTGTTAATGGCACTGGGATGATGGCAGTTGTGATCAAATCCTTCTGAAGGTTACCATGTTAGGGAAGTCTGCATCAGCCTAGAAACATTCCGTGCCTATGGCAATTCTTCTGAACCCACTAAAATGCAAAGAATTTATGTATAGTTATAATTTGCTCAGGAGTCTTCCCGATATCGCTCCTCTCACATTTACGAGCCAAGGACTGCTAATGAGAAAAATAACTCCTGTGAAGGACAAGGACAACTTGGGTATTGCATAAATACAGTAACCAAAAAAGGAAATGTGTGTGTGCATATCATATAGAAAAGCAGGTCTAAACTGTCATCTTGCCCTTCTGAACGTCAAGGTACCAAGACCTCTGGCAATGAAAAAGGAGAGCATCCAGACGAGGAAGAGGAAACCTAAAAATATCAGCAAAGGCAAATCCTCAACAGGTAGCTCCTATTATTATTATTATTATTATTATTATTATTATTATTACCATTGTTATGATGTTAGCAGTGCTCATGCTACTTTACAAAATATCATTGGACAGGGCTATGCTCCAAAGAGATTCCTGCTAAATTTCTACACAGACAAGACAATACAGGAAGGCTAACATTTGTGGAGGCAGGGTTCTCTTGCTCAGTTCCTCCTCCTCTCTTCCTCTGATCTCCAGCTGAGCCAAGATAATAGAGTTCTATCAGCATCAACTCCACCTATTCCGAAAACACTACCCATTCCCAGTCTGAGTTGGGGCATTCCAGCAAGAACGGTTTCTCATAGTTCTGCTGATCTCCTGGCTTGACCCTGAGTGATGACAAAAATGGCCCCAGAAAGAAATCAAAAGTAAAGGTGATTTGACGGGATGGTGAAATGATGCCAACAAAGCTCAGGGGCAAAGACAAGCGGTACTTGCAATGAGTGAGAAGTTCTGCCATCAGCTTCCATGGAGACTTTCAGGAGACCTTGGAAGAGAATTCTGTTCAGTTGTTTTGTGATACTTTGTAACCTGCCTTGGAGAACTCGACCAAAAAGTGGTATATAAATGATTAAATACACAGCATGCTACAGCATGTATTTAGAAAAGGAGCAGAGAGGACGACTCAGATGATGAAGGAGTTGGAACAAGTCCCCTGTGAGGAGCAGTTCCAACAGTTTGGCTTAGAAAAAAAGAGGAATAAAGGGAGCCATATAATGGTGTTCTAAACTATGCATGGTGAGGAGAAAGTGGAAAGGGAAACTTCTTTCTCCCTCTTCCATAAAACCTAGAACCCAAAATGGTCATCCCACGAAGCTGATTGGTGGGTGATTCAAGACAGAGAAAAAGGACTTTTTAAACATTTAGTTAAACTTTGGAATACACTGCCAGAGGATGGAGTGGCAGCCCCCAATTTAGATGGCTTTAAAAAGAGCATTTTGAAACTCAACATTAAGAAAACTAAGATCATGGTATCCGGTCCTCTCACTTCCTGGCAAATAGATGGGGAAGAAATGGAGGTAGTGACAGATTTTATTTTCCTGGGGTCCAAGATCACCGCAGATGGGGACTGCAGCCAAGAAATTAAAAGATGCTTGCTCCTGGGGAGGAAAGCGATGGCAAATCTAGATAGCATACTAAAAAGCAGAGACTTCACCCTGCCAACAAAAGTGCATATAGTCAAGGCTATGGCTTTCCCAGTTGCAATGTATGGCTGTGAAAGCTGGACTATAAGGAAGGCTGAGTGCTGAGGGATAGAGGCCTTTGAATTGTGGTGCTGGAGGAGACTCCTGTGAGTCCCTTGGAGCGCAAGGCGATCAAACCGGTCAGTCCTAGAGGAGATCAACACTGACTGCTCTTTAGAAGGCCAGATCCTGAAGATGAAACTCAAATACTTTGGCCACCTAAAGAGAAGGAAGGACTCCCTGGAGAAGAGCCTAATGCTGGGAACAATTGAGGGCAAAAGGAGAAGGGGACAGCAGAGGATGAGGTGGCTGGATGGAGTCACTGAGGCAGTTGGTGTGAGCTTGAGTGGACTCCGGGAGATGGTGGAGGATAGGAAGGCCTGGAGGAATGTTGTCCATGGGGTCGCGATGGGTCGGACACGACTTCGCAACTAACAACAACAACAAAAAAGAGCATTGGGCAAATTCATGGAGGAGAAAGCATTCAAAGGCTACTGGTCCTGATGGCTGTATGGTACCCCAAGCATCAGATGCAGTGTGCCTGTGTATACCAATTGCTGGGGAACATGGGCCAGAGGAGGCTGTTTTGCTCATTGTGGGATCCTGTGGGCAGCTGGTTGGCCACTGCATGAGCAGAATGCTGGACTAGGTGGACCTGGTCTGATCCAGTGAGGCTCTTCTTGTGCTCTTTTGAAGTGCCAACCGACCTGGCCCTCCTACAGGATGTTCCATCCATTCCCTCCCCACCTGCTTTTTGTGGGCTTTCACTCTCCCCAGTTGGTCTGTCACCACCGAGCATGCTCAAAAGGTATCACTGAGCATGCTCACAAAAGGGAAAAATCCTGCGTTTAGGACAAAGCCTAAAAGGGGGCTCCTTAGGGTTTTCCCTAAAGTTTTTTATACTTCTGCAAAACATGGTGATTCCCTGGGGCTCCCGATGGCTCTCTGACACATGCATGCTGCTGCTTGGGCTATGTAAGAATCAGCACTTGGAAGGCTGAATTTGCCCACAAGAAGGAAACGTGAATAAGCCATTATGATCAGGGAGCCTCCCTGGTGGACTGTGGGAATGCAAGAGCTTTTGACAAAGTGCCCCATAATGTTCTGATCAGCAAACTAGCTGAAAGTGGGCTGGGTGGGAATTTAGGAGAATCCACAGTTGGCTCCAGAATCAGATTCAGAGCATGCTTATCAATGGCACCTTCTCCATTTGGGGAGAAGCGGGGTTCTGCAGGGTTCAGTCCTGGGCCCAGTGCTCCTCAACATCGTAACTGATGCTTTGGACGAGGAGGTGTGGGGGATGCTGATCGGATTTGCAGATGACACAAAACTGGGTGGGATAGCTAATACCCCAGAAGACAGAAACAGGATCCAAGGTGATCTTGATAGGTTGGAGCGCTGGGCTGAAAAGCACAGAATGAAATTCAACAGGGACAAAGGCCAAGTTCTGCACCAAGGAGAAAGAAACCAAATACATTTTTGCAATAAATACGTGTAACTTGAGCCAAGGGAAATACTTGGCTCGCAATACTACAAGTGAGAAGCATCTTGGAATGATCATAGATCACAAGTCAGCCCTGTGAGGCGGCTACAAAAAATAAAACAAAAACACACACAAATGCTACATTGGACTGGAAGCAACGCCTTAAGAAGAGAGATTAAAATAAATGGACATGTTCAGCCTGAAGAAGAGAAAACTGAGTGGAGAGAGGATACCATTCTGCATGTTCTGGAAAGGCTGTCATTCATTCAGAAATGGGCTAGGACCTCTCCTCAGTCTTCCCAGAATGCAGGACATAGAAAAATGGGTTCAAGTTACATGACGCCAGATTCTGGCTGAGCATCGGCAAAAACGTCCTGACCATTAGAGCAATACAGTAGTGGAAGTGATGACCTAGGAAGGTGGTGGGCTCTCCCACACTGGAGGCATTCAAGATGCAGCAGGACAGCCATCTGTTAAGGATGCTTGAGGCTGGGGTCTTCACTGAGCAGGGGGTTGGGCTCAGTGGCCTTCCTGGCCGCTTCCAACCCTACTATTCTGATTCTACAAATGCTACAAAAGGTATTGGTGATGTGATCTGCCCTGGCCTTTCACTGATGTACAATTTCCTCTCTCCTTCAGGTTCCACGACTTCAACCACCAACTCCCCTTCCTCAGCAAGCACAGTCACTTTAAAAACTGAACCCGTGGTAACATCACAATATCCAGGGCAATCCATAGTGTCAGCTTCCCAGGTAAACTATCACAGGAACTACAGAATTCCATGGCATGTATTTTTCCTTAATTTAATTTTTATTCCACTATTCAGTTTACATTTTGCCAAAGTCAACTGCAGTATAGGCAGCCAAAATGCTCAAGACAACTTAAAACAATAGTTCTGCTGTAAAATCAAAGATAGTTGGAATCGCCCTGCAGTCTATTCTTTTCTGATGAGCTTGAATGGTTCCTCAGATGGCAGTATAGTCACGTTTCATGAAAGGAAGGAAATGCATTGCCAAAAAAGAAGACAAAAGATGGTGCAGATTTGCATCAACTCTCCATGTGCTAATTAGAAATGATGATTGATTTAAAGATAGAACTGTGACCAGTTGATGTATGTACTTTATTTAATTATTTAAGACTTTTTTAGACCATCCCTTACTGAAGTCTCAGGACAGTAAGACAAAAGAATATATATACAGCATCCTGATCAATTTCTGACAATAAAAGCCATATTAAAATAGCAAACCTTAAAATATTGGGAAAATAAAAAGGGTTTAGCCCGGTGCCAAAAAGAATAACGTGATGGCACCAGGGAAACCTCTCTGGGGAGTATATTGCACAGTCGGGGTGCCACTGAAGGAAGACCCTCCTCCTAATCTCCTTTAAGGGAGGGCTCCTGGAGAAGGGCCTCCAACCCATCTTAAGAGGCAGGCAGGCACATGTGGAAGGAGACGGTCCATACCTTGCCCAGTATGCTCCCCAATTGGTTTTGATGGTCTCCTGCAAGGCCCAGCTCTTCCTTCTGGTGGTTCTTTATCCTTACATTAGCTGTGGACTGGGCAGTCCTTTTCCTCCCATCCTCTGCAAAGCGAGATGTGTGTCCACCATACTGGCTGAGATGAAGTTGTCCTTTACAGCAGAAGCAGCCCTGAATGGGGGAAAAGTATCTCCTCACCATAACACCCAGCACAAGGATCTTTCCCACCATACAGCTGATCCCTGTTTCCATTTGTTTCACCCAGACCAGCTCTCGTCCTGTGCATTCAAATGTCCACAGAAAGGCAGAAGCTCTTCACACATTAAATCCACCGTTCAGACCTGCTGGGTATTTTCTACTGCATGGCAAATATCCAACAGACCTGGACTGTGGATCTAACTCATGTAACGCTTCAGCTTGTTTATTAAAATGCTTACAAACTCTCTGGATTGTGGGACAGCCATGGCAAAACCTGCACCCTGATGGCCTCAAGCCAATTTTATGCCAAAGGCCTGGGATAAATTATTCTTGCCAAGCTGGCTCTTTCGCAGCTGGCCGAGTCATCTCCATATGCTGATTGCATTAGGCCAGTGTACCTTTAGTAACTGGAACCTGTTAAAAAGTTATGCAAGAGCTACACTGGGACAGTGGATTACTTTTTGTGCTCTCAGCAGAAACCATGCTTCAAGTAAGCATCTTAACAATTTCATGAATAAGCTGACCATGGAAAAAATCATTCTACCATGACACATGTTTAAGTATTAGAGACATTATTCTTGTAATAAAATACATCCTGCTTCTTTGAGTGTTCCATGCCTTATGCTAATATTATCAGCTTAGGCATGTGAGAAATGCAGGAGGAAGACCCCAAGTTTACCTTTTTTCCCCCGGGCATCTCTCTGCAGCCCTGCCCTTCTCTGTTGTCTGTATGAGATGGGCATTCTTACCCAAACTGTACACAAGAGCTTGCCAACCTGTTGAAATTGGTCAAGATTGTTGATTGCTGAATGGTCAAGCAGAGAGATCCAGGGAAACCTCAAAATGGATTACCAAGCCATTAGCACAAGGGGTTGCAGTAAGAACCGGATGTAGGACTGCCGCTTGGACTGCAGGGGCAGGGGGTTGATTTGAAGTAGCCAGTTTCCTACATGGGTTTTACAATGTGTGAGGAATCTAGCTGGCAGGCCAAAATCTGGTTGATGGGCTTAGCTTGATTTCCCAAATGATGGTCCATCTAACCAAGCACTGGCGCCAACACAGGTTAGCATGAGGTCTTCACTTTTAGAGCAGGACACGATGTGTGCCTTGTTTTGTCAGAGCCAGTAAAACCTGCATACAGATTGGCTACAATTTGCACCACTGGAGTAAAGTCCAGCCACCATTACAGCCCAACTGTATGCAAATTCCTCTGGCTTAAAAAAAAAAAAAGCAAATTCCAGCCAACTTCAAAAATAGAGGTCTGAGAGGGGAGAACCCTGACTCAGTCCACTTTAAACTGTCTAGTTGGCAAGTCCCCAAACCATGAGTCCCCCATCGTCACACAATTAATCAACCCATGCCCTTTGATGGTGACAAATGTATTCATTTCCTTCCTGTACATCTCTGCAGGGTCCAAGCCAGTCTGAAGATACACTGACTGATAGCCACCCCCAGTTCAAGTATGAACCAGAGGATTACAATTTCTCTCCAGGCACCATGACACCACAGCAGTCGGGACTAAGCGTTCCCCTTCGCCAGGATTCGTGGTGCGCCCTGGCACTGGCCTAGGAAACCAGTCTTCCTTGTAAAGTAAGATGTGCTGCAGAGAACAACCTTTTCTTCTTATGACATTAGTGGCTCGCAGATGCAAAGGACCTTCCTGCATGGCCACTCTGGATCAGAGAATCTTCCTGTAATCAACAACTGTTGTAGGTTGCAAAGACCGATTTCTTTTTCTGCAGAGGCCTCGGTGTTTGAACACCGATTGTGCTTGAGGCGTCCGACCCTTCTGGTAGTTAAGGATCTCTTAAAGCTTTTTACTCTTAGCCACACCAATCGAGAGGAAGAGGAACCTGGACCTCTTCTCCCAGGGGGAGGCCTTTTCTGTGATCCATCCTAAAGAAATGATTCGCACAATCTATGTTTTGCTCACAGTGATTCTCCCCTGCCCCTTTTTATGACTCCTCTGTGTGCAATTTTGTTCCACTTTCCAATAAAGACTATGATAGAATGTAGCACCAAGTCACTTAATTTTATTAAAATGTAAACAGCGTTGCTTTGCTGAGGTTTATTGGCAGTGGCAGGGCAAGGAGCAGAGAAGGTGGGGGAGGAAATCCTATTTTAAAACACCGACGGCTTAATATTAACAGCAATCCTCTTAATACTGCTTTCTCTTCTGGAGTGCCTAATTTATCACCTTTTAGAAACAAGTCACACACTCAGATTCCATCACATCGCTTCACTCTGCTGTTGAAAGTCTCTCAACATTTCACAGTACTACCAGGGAAAGTCACATTTTTTTTTTTAGCCAAATGCCCCTTGTGGTCACATAACATTGTTTCAGGGCATTCTGAGCAATTTTAAAATGGGTGGCTGGAACAGCAGTGAGTCATAGGGGAATACCAGTGAATTCCTTGACCCCGGAATACCTCCCTCAAAAATCATAAAAGAGGAGGTAGGCTTGCCTTCTCTTTTAATATCAACTCCACCACACCCTTGGGAGTGGGAGGAAATTGAGCCAAGCATTCAATCTATTGAAAGATGGACTCCAAACTAAAAGGAGCGCCCTTGTTTCTCAAGGGCAGAAGCTGAGAAGTTTGGGCCCTCCACTCGAGTGCATCCCTTTCTTCCATTTAAGTCTTCATTTCCATGTTCTCTCTACACTTGGGGATGCTGAATCAGTCCTCCACTTTGACCAAGGTCGCATTGATTGGATCCTGCACAGAAGCATAACAGGAGTAATTGCAATAAGCAAGGCTGAAAGCCAACGTGAGGGCCAAACAATCAAGTCATAACTAGGAACTGTGTATGAGAGAAAGTGTGTGTTTACACTAGAATGGGGTGTGGACCCAATCTGAATCAGGATCCTAGTAGCGGGGGCAGGGGCAGGGTCTGAGTGGGTTCTGGCCAGATCAAACCTGAACTTTCCCTACAAGCCAAAAAGAGAACTGATGTTGTCGTGCTTTGGGCACATCATGAGAAGGCAAGACTCATTGGAGAGGACAACCACGATAGAGAAAGTCAAAGGCAGAAGAAGGAAAAACAAGTATGAGATGAATTAATTCCGTAAACAGCCCTGAATTTAGAAGAGCCAAGCAAGGCTATTCTGGAGGGCATTCCTTCATAGGGTCACCATAAGGTCACTCTAAGACCCTTGGGCTCTTGGGCAGTATAGAAATGAATGTCAGAGCCAATGGCACACAACAATAGCAAAGGGGTTTAACCCTTTCTGCACACGGTGGGCCTAATCCAGAGGTGGGGTACACCTACTTGCTTGAGAAACAGTGCTACCCATAGGGGGCAGGAGGGGGAAAGCTCCCGCTCCATATGCCAGGCCCCAAAACAGATCAGACATCGTGTATCTACTCTCAAGCCCAAATGAAATGGTTATAGCTGATTTGGTCTACATAAAAGAAATGCTGTGGGTAAACATATTCAAATTGTCTATGGGAAAGGGAATGTTTATCCAATGCCAATAAGATGGTGAATTTCCCTGGGGAGAGGGGTCCAGTAAGAATTCCCAGAAATGGCTGTGCCTCAACTGAGATGGAATAAGTGCATTCTGAACCTGCATAAATGGAGTCATACTGTCCAGTTCGTGAGAACAGTTCCACTCGATCCTGTGCCTGCTATTCTGTAATCAGCTGCATCTCATGACTCTGCATAATCTGGAAAGCAAGTCCTACGAAGAATTCTGGGAATGTGAATTTTACTGTGAGACATGACAGTGGTCTTCAGCATCTGGACTTCTTTTCTATTGCTCCAGAGGGCAAGACTAGAACCAGATGGTGGATACTGCATTAGGAAAAACCTCTGAATGGCAAGATCTGTGCCACAGATGGCCTCCGGAGGTGGTGGCTAACCTTCACTGCAGGTATTTCAGCAGTGAGTGGAAGGCCAGCTGGTTTGGTGTCCTTCCAAGACTCTCGCCCTGAGCAAAGAGCAGAGAGCTTCCAAAGTCCCTTCCAACTCCTCAAATTCTATTATCCTTTTTCTGCAATTTTACCCTTACATGCAGGCACCATCCCTCAACCAAACAAACCTGGACTGATGTCCCTGAATTCAAGTAAACACGAGCATCTCCAAGCTTTCTGCAAGTGTAGGGTGAAGGGTGTTCATAGCGACTGACCTCCAGTTTCCTTGCCAGTATCTGTAAGCAGGGAGCACCAAGGTTATTGAAAGGAGGCAGGAAACAACATAAAGAGGGGCCTTTTCTGTTGCTTTTTCTGAACAATTATTGAAACCCTATCCAAAAAAAGGAAGAGCTTGGGAAGAAAAGTGGTGGAGTGTCATGAATTCATTATGACCCATTCTTGAATCCCTTTGCTCCAACGTAGCACAAGTTATTTATAAACTGGAAGTTGTCAAGAAATAGCTTGCTCTATGGAAACCCAACTGGCACAGGGCTTCCTGCCGTAGTTGTTTTGCTTGTCAAAGAGAAATATGTGGTTTGTTTTGTAATGTAAGATGCTCAGCGTGTCCCACGGTACTGTTACAGAGAGGAGACGGATGAGGGTTCTGAACTGTAGAGACCTGGTGAATCATGCCGTTGGGATTTAAGCCCGCTACACCCAGGCAGACATGGGGAGAATGAGAGAAGAAACTGGCCAGTTTGTCTGGTCTGGTAACACAGAAGCAACCTGCCAACACTTTACACAGCGGATCTGCTTGCTGCAGGGAGTACCGTCAAGTGTGTGATGGAAAGGACTGGCCGTTTTACTCGGAGAGTGGAACAGGGCAATATGAAGAGCGGGTGGCAGGCAGAGGTGGGGTTGTTATTAATTTTGCATTAAATGTATACTCCACCTTGCTTCCGCTCACAAAGAAACCCAAGGCAGCTTATGATGTTCTCCTCAGCTTCATTTTATCCCTGTAACAACAACCCTGTGAGGTAGGTTTGGCAGAGAGTAAGTGACTGGCCTAAAGTCACCCCGTGAGAGTCATAGCTGAGTGGAGACTAGAATCCAGATCTCCAGAGTCCCAGTCCCACACACTCACCACTAGACCACACTGGCACTGCAAGTCCCATCATCCCTGACTATTGAACCTGTTGGCTGAGGCTGATGGAACTTGGAGTGCACTCACTGTCAGAGCAATAAGGCAGTGGAACCAGCTGCCTGGAGAGGTGGTGGGCTCTCACACTAGAGACATTCAAAAGGAAACTGGACAGCCCTCTGAGTGGGATGGTGTAACGTGGTGTCCTGTAACAGCAGGGACTTTGACCTGACGGCCTTCTTGGCCCCTTTCAACTCTACTGTTCTATGATTCTATGAATATTTATTTATTTAAAACATTGCATGCCGCCCGATTGTGCCATAGCACCTCTGGGTGGCTCACAACCACAAGATAAAAGCACAATAAAACATAATAAAAACCAACAACACATTAAAAACAACAATAAAATACAGCAAAAACAAAACAAAACAAAGGCCTCATGGCAGTTAGCTATTAAAATATTTTTTTAAAAAGCATTCGAAATATCTGGAGGGCCACATTTCCCCATCCTCTGTTCTGGGGTCAACATGTGCAAGGGCCTTGAAGAAGACGACACAAGATGTGGTGCTGATAACAGAAGTAAAAGCACCCAGGCAGTGCTTCCAAATACTGACAATGGAAGCAGGTAAAGAGAGAAGCAGTGGAGAGCGGATCCCGTGAGTGTGAGGAGCCCTCTACTTTTCCAGGAGGAGAGAGGAGCACCAGAGGGGTGAAGGAGGTGCTTCCTCTTGGAGGCCCTTCCCTTCCTTGGATTTTTTGTCCTGCTGCTCCCCCCACCCCCCCCAACACATCCTTTCTCCTGTATGCTTAGAAGTTCTTTGCATTTTTGCCCCTAATTTTTCCCCCTTCATACTTGATGGGTTATAGTTAAGCAGCGTGCAGAAGGAAAGGGGCAAGACGTCAGCTGAAGATGTGGCGAATATGATGGCGCAAGGGGGCGAGGGGCGGGTATGTGGGTGCTTCAGGGAACAATCTAGCAAACACAAGAAAAAGGGGTGGAGGGGGTGGGAAGGAGGGCCAGTGCCCAGTCCTGCTGGAAGATGACGACGTTTTCCTTTTTCCTCCATATCCCGTTTTCCTTGTGTGTCGTGTTACTTAAGATTATAAGCCTGCAGACAAAGGCTGTCTTCTTTGAAAGACTGCAGGAGCCTTTTGAGCTGGGGAACAGGATTCAGATACTTTAAGTAAATAAAAGGAATAATAGGTAATGTCACGTGTGTAATGCTAGGAGAGCTATTGGAATCCAGTGATCATGTTGTTTCTGCAGCAGAATGACATCCACAGACAAAAGCCACACCACCAAGTACTTAACATGGTGCGTTGACCCCCTGTTGCCATGAGTCATTCTCTAAAGCAAGCGCAGGGACCCAAAACCTTCGCCAAGAGCCCGACACCAATGGCTCCAGCAAGGTTATTTATGGACTGCTGGTAAATGCAGCTCATAAGCTTGCAGCTCAGCAAAAGATGACAACATGGGAAGAAATGAAACAGTTGCTCTGTGAGTTTGAACTGCTGTTAAACGGGCTGGAAGAGGACTTGGGACAAGACTCCGTTCTTCACACCTGAGTTATGTGCAGCCTATCCTCACCCCAAGGTGCTGTCAGGAAACATTTGGCCTTGCGACCTTTGTGCATACCTGGAGTGAGTGTTGCAGAATCGTCTTCAGTCCCTTTCCTGTTTCTTGGAATGTCTGTGAATCCTTTTGGGATGTGGACGAATAGACATTTTCTTGTTTCCATAGATGGAGCACAAACAACCCATTCCCAACTAAGCCAGTCTCTCTTTGGTGTTGCATAGAGATACACATCTGGGGTGGAAATAGGGCGTTCTTAAACTTTATTTTGATTTCTGTGAAGGTGCAAAGGAAAGAGAAAACTACAGTCCACTGTAACTCCATCGGCCTCTTCCACTGAGCACATCGCTTTTTTTTGCGAGGGGGGGGGATGCACATGACTCACTGGGGGAGGAAAGGGACCCCCCCCCTAGCCAGCCAGATCAGCCAAATAATCCCGGGCTGTCA